CAAATCTGAAATTAATCAGTGATTTTCATCTAATTCTCTTTCCATAATTTAGATCCTAAGTTTGGAAAGGATTCCCTAATCCCCCCAATCAAGCCCCTTGCATGGCCGGCCCCCTCTCTCTCTCTCCAATCCAATCAATCCAAATTAATTCCCTCAATTAATTAGCCAATCAAACCCCATCATGGGCTGCCGCCCCCTCCTCCCTTCCTCTCTCCTATCTAATTAATGCACCAAATTAAGCCATCAATCAGCCCATTATGCTCCCATAACCAGTCGGCCCTTTTCCCTTTCTCTCCATATTAGTTTGTGACTTATTTGGCATGCTCCTTATGCCCTGAAATTAATTCCAGATTCCCCGCCACTGCTGGGCAGAGAATTCCCCATAATACTCATCTACTTTTCTTGCATCTAGAGAGCCAGAATCCTGAATTGTCCTAGTCCAAGTTTTTGTCCAGATTTCTGGACAGATTTTGTGTGCCGTCCAGAATTTCCCATTGCCAAAACAGCTGTCCAGATTTGACGTAAATGCTGTCCGGATGCTCCTAGTTGCTGTCCCAAAGGAGATCAAGTGCTGGCCAGGGTCCCGGAGCTTGCAAACCTGCTGTCCAGAAAATTCTGCACCTCCCCATTGCTGTCCCATATTTCCAACTTGCTGTCCATCAATTCCAGCAAGAGGAGACCACCAGTTTCGCTGCCATAAAGCCACCAACTGCTGTCCAAGCTTGCGAGAAGGACCAAAAGAAAACCCAGGCCATGATAACAGTAACCATAAGGTTTATCCATAACCAATGGAAGAGGCAGCAAATCGGAATAAAGAGCCAATGGAGACCCTGATCCAGGCTGCTGATAAACTTGTTATCGAAGAGCTTATGAAGCTATCCGAGCTCAAGCATGCCTACCGAGAGCAAAAACCAAAAGCTACTCTTAGACCTCACAAGTTGCTCTTCAAGACCCATAGAATTCAAATCCCCATACCCGTTCTACATCATAATGAGATCTCATCATCTGACTTTTTAGTAGGAAGATCTGAATTTTGATTTCTTCAATGGTGATAGAAATGAGATTTTAACATCTAACACAAGTCATTCTCACTTCAGCCTCATTCTCACTCTCCTTTTTCTCTCTTTCTTTATACAATCTTTCTCCACTTTCTCTTCCTGTCTTTTGTATTTACTCTCTTAATCTATCCTTTCACTCTCCCTACACATGTTTTCTCTCTCTATTACTCTCTCCCACTTATCTTTCTTTCCCTCTCTTTAACTTTCTCCATCTCTGTTTGTCTCTCCCCCTCTCTAACTCTTTCTTGTCCACTTTAGCTCTAGAAAATAGAGAAAATATAAAAAAAAAGAAAAAAAAAGTTGCTTCATTGCCGTTGTCATATGCTATGTGCACAAAAGTATAAATTCAAATATTTAAAAATCCCTAATGTGATGCGTTCGACGTGACGAGCGAAACCTGTATGAGCTTCTCCTAGCATTGAGGGAAGCTCATAGGCGACATTCACAATGTAATGGGTAAGCCATATAAAAATCCCTACAGTCCCGCATGCATTGAATCACCTGTATGCAGAATTCTACTATGCCGAAGATCTCAACAGTGTCTCGGGGACTTTAGAAAAATAAGCTACAGTATTTTTTGCACTGTGCCGACACTTTATGCACTGCATTGTACTTGCTTACGGAACTTCTCAGATTTCTATGACTTTGGAAGAGAAAAGGGAATAGATAACCCACACAAATAACTACTCTTATAACTTCTCTATTTCCAATAGATGCATCTAATCATAATAAGAGAAAATAAATTTAAATAAACTCATCACTTAATACAAATGCTAGAATTTTAATTAATAAATAACATTTTAGATTTATTACCTGGATTTTAGGATTTTACAATGCCCCTCACCATCTGCTTGAAGTATAAGGTGACTAGTTTTAATTCTTAAGCAATTTTCTGTTATCATACGCTGCACATTTAGTATCTATATGAAGATTAGCCTTAATTAAAAACTCTCTTGTTATCGAGAGGGGTTATTGCATCTATGAGAAATCTGGAACCAAATTATAAAGTCCTTGCAAAATGAGAGTGAGATATGTGGGTAATATCTTATCTACATTCTTATTTGTCTTTTGAAAATTTGACCAGGCACACTTCCTCAAAACTCTCCTAACGAAAGAGTCCGACTCACAAATTTTCGAAGCCCACATTGGGGATAGGACATGAATAAGAAGCTGCATCAGTTGAGAAGGGGAAGGAGTATCTATGCTAGTCAATGTAGGAATAAATGATCCTTTTGGGTTTTCTCACTCTCTCTGTTGGGTTTCGAAGGGGCTTGCCATATAGAGGTTTTTGAAAGGAAATTGAGATACTGTTGTATATTTTTTCCTTCTCTTGGGGATGGGGCCAGGAGGACGGTTTGCATCAGTTGAGAGAGGGAGGGGGGGTATCCTGAGGGGGGGGGGGGGGGGGGGTATCCATGCAAGAATTTCAGGGATAATGTATCCTTTTGTGTTTTCTGGTTGTTTGGTTTGGAAGGGTATGCCATAGATCTGTTTGGAAGGAAATCCTAGAATAAGATTATTTGTTTTACGATTGATACTACTAGATTCACAATAGCCACATTTAAAAATCATCTCCTTAATAAGTTTCCACATGCAGGCAAGCTTTATTTATATTCTCTAACAATAGCCTCATTAAAAAAAAAAAAAAACAAAGTATTATGAAATGTTTGGGAAAATAATCTGTGGATGTTATCAATATCCCTTTAGAAGGAACATTTGTTTTTTCTTCTACATATTGTTGAATAGTTGAGAGGAATCGTTCGAGAAATAGTAGAGGAATATTCTTTAGCATGTAGTCAATGGACGGATTCAGCTTCTCCAGGAGTTTAGGAGTATTTTTAGCAAGTGAAAATCATTGGAAGGACCGCTTGCAGGACTTCAATTATATTCTAATAACCCAAAAATGCAACTCGAGGCTGTTTTCTGATTTCCCTCCTTTCCTTTTATTTCCTTATGTTGTTTTCAGCATTCAACGGCAGAATTCCTAATGTTGACTAAGCTGAACTCTATGGAATTTCTCTATTTGCTTTGTCAATTATTGTCACCTACTGTTCTTGTTTCGAATGAGTTTGCTTTTATTAGTTAATTAAGATAAATCAAATAAGAAACTCACATAAGGTCAAGAAAAGAAGCGGCTTTAAGTATAGGCATCCCACCATTTTATTGAAGTTCTTAATCATCCAATGATCTTACAAGTGAACTAATGTTTTTAAAAGATAGAAAGCATAAGGTGAAACGTTTTTTTTTTTTCTGTCATAGAGCAGGATAATCCGTGTATTTAGTATTTTAATAAATAAGAACTATGATTAAAAATTGAATATAAGATAAAAATGAAATAAAATTAAAAATTCAAATTCCATAATCATTTTATTTGTATACTAACTCCAATATCTAGTAACACAAACATAAAACATTGGTCAGGAATTTGATAGCCAAGTGTTCAATTGAAAGGCCTAAACAAAAGTGTATTATAGAAATATCCAAATATAAATAAAACTTACATTTAAATTCATAAAATACCAAAGTCCAAAGACTCTTGACATATGAACTATAAAGGTCAGAGAAATTGCTAAATATTTATTGAATTTAACCCTTATAATAATATGCTTTAAGGATCCATTGAGAGTCTTGGACAAAAAGTTGAGGTAGCTGACCTCTAAAATGAAAGAGAGAACATAGATGGCAATGCTGAGAGTGCTTGCGATCAAGTTGAGCAGCACAAGTTGGTGAGTTGGTGGAGACTATTTGATCCACTTAAGTTGGCAAGGGAGTGAAGTTGATTTTTATTTTATTTTATTTATTTATTTATTTATATTTGGCAAGGGAGTGAAGTTGATGAGGGAGCTAAATCAAACAATCAGGGGTTCAATTTGATTTATAATGGGTCAGGTTCGAGTCTCATATGAACTTGACCCGATTTGAAACTATTTGATCCGAATTCAACTTATTTATTATTAGAGTCAAAGTATTTGATGTGAACCCAACTCAACACAAACTCGATTGACTCGAGCCCCACATATGTGACTCTTTTATTATGTGGTTTATAATTTTTTTTTTGGGTGTCAAGACAACTTGGATGAATAGTTGAGGGTAATGAGAGTTGCCGACATATTTTTAAACCCGAAATTAAAGGGGTTATTTTGGGTCGGGTTGATTTTATGTTCTTTGATCGACTTGAACTTGACTCAGATATCAAATAGGTTAACATTTTAGATTCAAAACAGACCCATATATTATTTGGGTCAACTTGAATCCAATTTTTTTTTGTTTGATCAATTTTTTTATCCTCTATGGGCAAGCAAGAGTTAATGTGGAAGTAGTAGTGATCGAGCAAGTCTATTAGGGAAGCATTGAGGAGCAATGAGTGAACAAACAGTTCATTGGATTTAGTGCCGTTGCTTTCTAAAAAACTGGAGTTAAGCTTACCAGCACATCAAACACATTACAGTTTTTTTTTTTTAAATTTACATTTGCTTCACTCGGAAGAAGATACCCTTGTTCAACATACTCTCTCAGGTCATTATTAAGGTTAATGATTATGCTTAACCTTTATATGAAGCCTTGAGCAACAAAACTGATTACGTTCACAAGTATTTGATGGATTGAGCACAAGTATTATCCATGATTTCACCATTTTCATAAATTTTAATGTCTGACTTCCTGTCATTATTTGATTTTGTTATTGGTTGGATGTAATTGTGCATAAATTTGTAAAGGATTTCTTTTTGAAACTTGCAGGTTGATATGAGAGCAAGGATTCGTGGTAATAAAGGTTACTGACTGACTGAAGTTTTTAGTTTAATATTCACTCACTTGTCCATCTTAATGGTTTGATGTGTTTGACTGTTACAATTTAAAAAAAAAACTAAAATAGGAATATGAGGATGTGATGAAATTTAGTTTAGTTCAATTTATTTATTAATTAATTTTAATGACACCTAGTGGTTAAATTCATAGTTAGCCTTCAGGCCCACTTGCTTGTGGCTGGACATTGTTAGTTAACTTTTGTATAAGCTTGGATTCTGGTGAGATTACCAATAAGTGTTCAAAATCAGGAGATTATTACGTGCGGTCACCAGACAATGTCCAGAGGCGAATCAGGATGCGCCCTTTTTTGTGTATTGGTTATGTGTACTGGGTGATGTGGCGCATGCTGATTCACCTTTGGATTATCTGGTGACCGCATAGAATAATTTCTTCAAAATCAGAGCAGATGCACATAAAATTATGTTAGCCATTACTCGGGAAAAGCTCTTAATAGCCCATCCCAAGAAATTTGTTATTTTATTTGTTTTTGTAATTTATTATTAGTAGTAATAATATTTATATTTAAGTATAAATTTGGCTTGCGCATCAACTGAGCATTATGATTTTAGAAAAAAGATGGGTCAACATACATGAATAAAATTTAATTATGATTAATTTCAAGATTGTTATATTTATTTTAAAAATAACTAACTAAAACTTATATTGCATTCATAAAAAAAGAAGATTTATTAACTTATAGATGTATTCTTAACAAAATTTGGTCGGAGGTTCTCACCTAAATTTATTTCTATAAAATTTCCTGCAGTTGTGATATGTTGTTTCCTCTCTTAATTGATTTCCAATAACGTCAAAAACTTTAAGAACTTAGAAAAATTTTCTTATTTTTGAAGTCAATTTTAATTTTAACAGATGGATTATTAACAACAATAACCAGTTATTTAAAAATACTGCACCTATCTTTTTGTTCTTAAAACTTTCTCCTTCTCCCTGCTACGTGGCGTTATAACATTGGTGGTCGAACGTAGAGGAGCATACGTTCACCGGACTAAATAATTGTTCCTTCAGTCATGTCTTACCATAAGACTTATGGAAGTGGCACCAATTTGTTGTGCAATAAAAGTTAGCTATTATTACAGCTTTAATCAAAAGCTCATTGATTTTAATATAAATAGATTCCACAATTATTATGAATGCAGAGTAAATGCATATCGCTCATCTTAATTTGTTGGTTGAAAATTTTGGCTGCTATTCAAAAAACCTCGACTTCGAAGCTTTCACAAATTCAGTAAATAGCTAGGAAGTGAAGCTAATCAGTAATCAGTCAAAATTTACGTTACATTTATTTAAAAATAAATATTATGACTATAAAATTCAAACCCAATTCTCATCCTACAAAGCCAAATGTTACAAATAGATCTACAGACAAAATATTTGTATGAAACTAAATTATGACTGCTTAAAATGAAAAAGCTGATGCAGAGACAAACCCTAAATCCTGAATTATTCAGACATGTGATGCAGAGCCTCATTCAATGGTAAAAGCCAGCTGAAGAAACCAACGTTAGTTTCCCTGTTTATTCTTTGTGTGGAGTATTCAATCAGAATGCTCCATAGATCTCCTACAGTCCAACCATGTGATAAGATCCAGTGAGATACCTGGAGAAATCCAAGCCAGAAACCCCCCAGCATGACCAAGTTAAATGAAAAAATAAAGCTGGTAAAAATTTCAAAACAATGATCGATGATTAAGCTTTCCTGGAGATTTCTCTTCCAATCAAAATTTCAAAAAAAAGGAAGCCAGGCTAAGCCTTTTTTGTTTTTAGCTTCTCTTACACTCAATCTTTCAGAATATAAAAGCTCTAACACTCAAATCTTATATATTTATAAAACTAGCACTCAACTATCTCCATTTATAATAATATCACAAGATGAAATTTATCAGCATTTTTCGTATTCATTAAATTCTCTACAAGTTGATTGTGGCATGAGTAGATAACATGAAGCTTAGTTTATGATTAGGTATGTCATAATACTTCTTACCATCAGCTTTAGATGCAAGGTGATAAATTTCAAATACCAACATTTAATTGCGGTTACTATATGCTCGTTGCTCTATGCATATCCGACGACTAGCCTTAATCAAAAAGTTTTTTCTCATTATCGGGAGAGAGAATTAACAACAGGGGCTTGCGCCGATGAGAAATCTAGAACTAGATTATAAAGTCTTTGCAAAATTAGAGTGAAATTTTTTGGTAGTTTCTTATCTTCAAACTATTCTTTCTTCTAAAAATTTGACTCGAGAGGTCAGGGTTTGAATTTTCAGAGCCTATAGAATATTCTACCAAATTAAATTACCAACAGCATTCTGAGCTGTCCACCCCCAATTTGTTCATACAGTTCATAAAAAAATGACCTTCAAAGTGTAGGAAGAATACCATGCATTTAAATTAATTATGAAGCATTAATTAAAGCAAAAAAAGAAAATATTAATAGCAGAAGAAGATACCTCATCCAATTTCTGCAATTCAGTTGTTCCAAACGTATAATAATGCATAAAAGGCCTCAATGCCTGCAGATTGATTTAATTAATAAAAAAAAAAAATTCAGGGATCAAATAAAACAAGATAAGCATTATTAGAGGAAACAATAATTATCAAAATGTTGAATGAACTAGCTAAGAGAGAAAATTTATATTGATCCAATCAGTTCATGAGAGACTAGGTTAACGGATTGTTGCTCGAGATGTTACATTTAGAGGAAAAATTAAACAATCCAATAATGAGATGGCTTCATAGAATCATTTTACCAACAAGGAGAAAAAGTTTTTAAAAAAATGATCTATAATTAACAATAATTGGATCTGTTGTTCAGAGTGATAGTGAAATAGATGGGTATATTATCAGTAAAATTTAAGTTGGATGGTTGAAGTGGAGGAATGCATCGGGCTTGCTATGTGATAGAAAAGTACCCCTCAAATTTAAAGAGAAAATTCTATAAGATGGTGGTGAGGTCTGCAATGTTTTATGGTGCCGAATGTTGGCCATTAAAAGAGAAGCATAATACTAAGCTAAGTGTGGCAGAGATGAGGATGCTCAGGTGGATGAGTGGCTTTACCCTTAGAGATAGGATACGAAATGAGCATATACATGAAAAGGTTGGAGTAGCTCCAATAGAAGATAAGATTAGAGAGAGTTGCCTTAGATGGTTTGGTCACATAAAATGGCGGCCTTCCAATGATCCGGTTAGGAAAGTAGAGATATTAGATATGACTTATGTTAAGAAAGGTAGAGGCAGACCTAAAAAGACTTGGTTAGAAAATATTAGGAATGACCTTTCATTATTAGATTTAAACAAGAATTTGACTTTTAATAGGATACAATGGAGAAAAAGGATTCATGTAGCCAATCCCACATAGTGGGATAAAGTCTTGATGTTGTTGTTGTAGTATGATTAACAATTTATACTTGAATAAACCTCAGTTCTAATACAATTCCATTTACTCAAGGAATTTTTTTTATTTAAATAATGATGGTTTCAGAAGATAATTAAATATAAACGTAACACAACCTGAGATGCAGCAAGCCATTGAATTACACACTTGATCTCTGGATCTCCACCAAAAGCACCACAGCCCCAGTTACCAGTTGCTATTCCAATATCTTCCGGAGAGGTCTCAGAGGCAATACTTAACTTACTGGCACTCGGGCCTTCAGAAGAAGCAACAGGATCCCGAGTTTGCGTTGATGCATCACTGGAATCCTGCATATGGCACGAAGAAGCAAAAAATATCAACAAAATACATTATCATATCAAGAAAACATCAAAGTTTCTTATGTGTAGTAAACTTATTCTCATTGTTAATGCCCAAAGGCCTAGACATGGAACCAATTCAAACAAATGCTAAGCTTAGAAGAAACCAAACGGACCAAATTGGACACCATAAAAGTATCAGGATGTGGTATGATCTAGTACAAGTAATCAAGCGATGACAAAATCATGCAGTTTAGAGGAAAAATCAGGAAACTAATCAACAATTACTGGTTCTTCGTTTGTTTGATTGGATTAAGGTGTAAGGAATCATTCAGAGTCATAGTGCACAAACACCTAAGGTGGAATGGTGTGGGGCGATTATCTTTTTCAGCACAGGGCGCGAATTCATATATATAATGACTGTAATCCTAATTGGGAAGTTCATGTATGAGTTAAAAATTAACATTTCCAATATGTTCAGCACATAATGCTGGAGATAAGGCTAAATAACTCATCCAAATTGCATAATAAATCGAACTTCCATTCGCAAAATAATATTTCAATGTAAGATGCATTAACTTAATTACTCTATAATTTGCACACTTTTGTGCATCACCTACATTCTTAAACATAGGAACCAACACTCTCCTCAACTCATCTAGCATTTTTTTAATCTATAAAATAATATTAAAGAATTTCATAAGCCAAGAAATTTTTTCATCTCTGAAGCATTTCCACACCTCTATTGGAATATCATCTTATCCAACTATTTTCCATACTTTATTTTCTTCAAGCCTCTCTAACTTTGGTTTTATTAATACAACGATAAAAATAAAATTCTCTATTTTGATTTAGAGTGCTAAGGCCACTAAAGTCAACCATATTATCACAATCTTCATTGAAAAGCTTATCGAAATATCTCATCCACCTATGTTTAATATCCTCTTCAAATAAAAGTATTTTTTGATATTCATCCTTAATACACTTCACTTAAACTAGATCCTTACTTCTCCTATCTCTTTGCTTAGCTAACTTATACATACATCTTTCGCCCAACAATAAAAAAAATTCTTTCAGACTTATAAAAGTAGAAAAAGTTATCAAAAGTTCAACATTATATTTACAATAACCAAAAGGTAAAATGTTATAAGGTAAATAGATACAAGTGTAGTTGCTATGGCACTTTCAAGTGTAACAAATTTCATTTTTATTATACTTGAGGATCAAAAACATAATCTAACTAAGAATGCTACAAACATAAACAGTAAATTTGACTTTCCATGCAGAAATTTTCTCTTAAAAATCTTTTGCCCATTATGAAGAAAAAGATTGAAATATTTGAAATCTATCAAGAATTTTCGTTTACTAGTTTTGCATTTTTGTTCTTAACAAAATACCCTTGAAAAACATAGCTTTTTATTCAAGTCATAAGGAAGTGGCCACAGGCTGTTTGTAATCAGTAATCAGTAATCAGTGTACTTTTAGGCTAGGGAAACATGCATAGGTAAAGTATAAATAATAGAGATAAAAACCGAGGAAACCATAATAAGCTTAACGCAATCGAAAGGGGTGGATATACATTACATGGTTATCAGTTACTCAAAATAGTGAGAAACCATAACAGTTTAAAGGGCCATTGCAGTTAGAGCTAATGGTGTGAGGTGTAAAAAGAAAAAAACTTTACAGAGGTTGGTTAGCAGCGGTACAAAGACACAGGATATAACAATTTAGAGATCTTGAATATTGGATTCCCTACCTATGAAGTTGAGATCATTTTGGCGGCGGCTGCAGTAGAGACTAAGAAAAAGGCAGAGTAGGAAGCATTAACCTAGCAGCTTTGGCTGTGGCATTGATCTAAACACCATTTTTGTATTTGTAGAGGGGGTAGAAATCTAGATAAAAAGAAGAGTTGTTTTATGATAGATGGGAACCAAGGAAGTATTGTATTAAATTATTTATTTATTTATAGATTATTATTATTTTTTAAGTATTGTATTAATTGATTTTTAATAGTGGAGGAGAATAGGAAGAGTCAATTTGTTTGTGTTTGCTCAAGAAAAATTGAGCAATTAGGCACGAACCCCACTTTCAAGGCTTAGAGTTCCATTTTTCTTAAGGTAGATTAATTTTTAATTAATCATATTTCCTCTCATGTTTATATCAAGGTTTATTTAAATCTGGGTCCTTACTTCCTATGGGTGCAAGCCCTCATAGTCAATTACCCCTCCCAGTTCTTAGGAGAGTACTTTCGGTTAAGGATGAGTCACTTTAGCATAACATTGGAATATTTAAGTTTTAGTATTGTTTATAAGGGGTAAAGATAGACTCGATCAAAATCTTATGGTTCCATCATCTCGAGCATACCATAAATCTCAATCTACCAACGCTAATAAATTATTGATTGCAACGTCCAGGAAATCTGATTAGCAGCCATAGGTTGCTTCATCTTAAGGATCCCAAATAGACTGAGGTGATTAGATGTTGGTTTTGGTTTTGTTGTGGTTTAAGTTTTGGGGCTTATATCCGTTAGAATGCCCGTTAATTTGTTTAGTTTGGGGTTTATTGCTCCTCTTAGGATTTGCTGGATAATTTAGTTTGGGATGGGGCTTATGACTCTGCTTGGGAGTTGCCCGATAATTTAGTTTAGGATGGGGCTTACGTCTCCGTTTAAGAGTTGCCAGGTAATTTTATTTAAGATGGGGCTTACGACCCCGCTTAGGAGTTGCCTAATAGTTTTTAGTTAAGGGTAGGACTTATGACTTCACTTAAAAGTTATCTGATAATTTTAATTGGGAGTAGGACTTATGACTTCTCTTAAAAGTTGTTTGTAGATTTAGTTTGAGATAAGGCTTACTTCTTCACTTAGAAGTCCCTATTGATTGAATTTAGTTTGAGATAGAGCTTATTGCTTCACTTAGAAGTCACAAATTGATTTAATTTAGTTTGAGATAGAGTTTACTGCTTTACTTAGAAGTCGCCTATTAGGTTCAAATTAGGGTTGGCAACTTCACTTAAAAGCTCCCTCATAAGTTGGTTAAGAAAAAGTATTGTTGCTTCATTTAGAAGTAGTCTGATTTGACTTAGGGCTTGTTGCTTCATTTAAAAACTTTCCTAACAAATTGATTAAAGTAGGTCTTATTGTTTCATTTAGAAGTAGCTTATACTCTTCCCGCCCATCCCTCCTTCCCTTGTTCCCTTCCTCATGCCTTTCAACTTCAAAGGAAAGATTTCTCTCATTAGCCTGCTTTTTTAAGCAGTAAATATACAAGGCCAACAAAAAATAGAAAGCCTTGGCACATGAAAAGTGTCCCATTTTAAAATTCTCACCTTTATGTTAAGAGAGAAGCATTCCTTCTATATATTCTGCATGCTGTCACAAGAAAGCAAAAAAAAGCATGGCTTAGAAAACCCATGCTAAGGTGGATAAGTTAGTTTTAGAAGCCTGACACAAACTAAAGTGCTCCTGAGACAGTCTCATGGAAAAGCACTCAGGTCCAATTCGTGTTTGCCTAAAGATACTGGTGCTAAAGTGTTAGTGTCTCAATATGGAATTATATAAGTAAAGCTATCTGCTTCTCTCTTTTATTTAATTTAAATGATTTAATTTAATTATTATATTGAACAAATGGGCCAAACAACATGCATTGCCTTGGTCAATCAACTGATGGAGAACAACGATAATGGGCACGCGTCAACATCTGCAGTACAACAGCCAGCCAAGTAATTAATAGTTCTTACATTGTGATCATTGCTGGCAATGGTGAGAGCTTCGTCCTGGCTGAGACCCTTTTTATGAGGGGAAGCGTCCTGAAAATTCTTCTTATAGCTTTTATATTTTGATTGATCAAAAAAACCACAGTACGCCTTGTTTATTTCTCTGTTCCAAAAAATTTTATGAGAAAAAAATAATAATTAATAACGATTAAATGTAAACTGAACAATATGAACTCCAAAAGATAGTACAGAACAAGAAAGAAGCAAAATTATAAGAATCCCAGGCCTTGAAATTATCTAAAAATAACAAAATCAAATTCATACATGAATAGTTTACATTATCATTGTATTTCTAAAAAGAAAACATAAAGATGAAAAATGCTTGAAAAAATGTCATGAAAATTTGACGTTTTCTGCTACATTGTCATTTTGAAACTTTACAATAATTTGAACTAAGATTCAAAGCTCAGCAGTGGACCAAGTGTGCTAGAAGGCATAGGATTTAGGATTTCTAACAAAACCGCATGCAACTGGATGCTCAAAATAAGCAAAAGATCAAATTTTACAATCAAACTATTAGCTTAGAAAAAGTTTAGTCTTTTTTATGTTAATCCAAAAATTACAAATAATTTAATAATCGTCAAAATTGAAATTACAAGAAAACTTGAAAATGAAATAAATCATGCAATGATTAGGATTCATGCCACAAAAAAATCAATTATAGCATACTTGATAAAATCTCAATCTCATACACAAATCAATGGCTAACAAAAGAAGTGTGAGATAAGTGAAAGAAATCACAGCATTATCAATTCAAGCCTCCCTTTAGTATGAGGAGAGAGCTTCTCCCAAAAGCTATCATTAACACTTGCACCGTACTTAGAAAACAACAGTATCCAACTAGCACACACATGTTTGAAGCTAATTTTAAATTTTATCAAGCCAATGCGAAGAGAACTCCAGTTTATAATAAAAATTTGGCCAGAATTGATATTTTCAAATGGAAAAAAAATCCAGCAGCTGATTTAAAGCAGTAGAAACATCAAGTTTCCAATCTCTAAAAAAGAAAACAACAAATCCAGCTTCTGCCAATGCCATAAAAATTTTGGTTCTGTAACAATGCATATAGAAGGAAAACAACCATATTCAATTTTCTACTACAACAGCCATAATGGGAACAACAAATAAAGAAAATATGGATTTGATGGAGAACTAAATAGCCGAAAATGAGCCACAGTAGGAAAGCCGTGCATAGGAGAAAATCACAGGTAGCAATAATTTGAACCCAACCAGTAGGAAATCGTGATCCTCAGTTACAATGGGGAAGTCACAAATAGGAGCATCATAATAAGCAGAGGCTAAACTTGTTACAAAACTAGCAGGAAACTGACCACAGCAGAAAGCCAGATACCTTATGCAAAATCTAACTAGCTGCTGGACGGTAACAGAGGAGCAGAATCCAACAACTAAACCACACTTAGACTGTACATAGAACCATCAAAATAATAAAGAGAATTCAACCCGATCTCCATAGGAATCACAGATGCTTTAAAGATCTAAAACAGAAAACTAAGAAATAAAATACTGAAGTCAATATGCATTATTTGCATATTGAGATGATTATAGTTTTTTTAGAATTACATCAACTACAGTTATTTTAAATTCTCACGTATGATGCCCTCATGTGCAAATCCATTGGGTTTCACAACTCAGCTGATGAAGAATCTCCATTGAAAAGGGCAAACATATGTTCTCTAAAATTAGTGAATTGAATGGCGATTTCCATGAATCGTATCCAAAATTTTCAATATCATGCCAAACGTCAAGTAACTATTTATCCTAAAATGTTAAGCTGACAACTTGTAGGCAAGTATTGCTTAATAATCTTAATATGAGATATAGTTGTGGGCTCCGAAAATTCGGCTCCGGCCTCCGCGCGGCGCTTTTCTTTTTATTCTGCGAGGGAGTTTTAACGAAATAAGTTCCGGGGTAAATTTTGGAAAGCAGATGGGTTTGTACATAAGACACTACCAAGAGATTTCGCCCTCATTTTGTGAGGACTTTATGATATGAGTTCTAGTTTCCTATAGGTGCAAGCCCCTATAGTTAATTACCCTTTGGATAGGTTGCTTGTGAATACAAGCACTTCCTATCAGAGACACTTGAAAGTATTTGGGAACCCCTCCGGTTGAGATTTGCATTCAACACGGCTATCATCGGGGTGTTTGGGGGCATTTCCACTTTCTAGATTGAACATTGTCGACTCTGTCTATTGGTCGACAGAGGATCAAGTTTCATGGGTTTTATGCCTTTGTTAGTAATTCTATTGATTTTAGGCCTAATATGAATATATTAAAACAAATATACTGGTCGCCACGACCACATATTTGTTTGTTGGGTCGAACATTGTCTACTCCTATTGATCTGTATAGAAGGATCGGGTTGAACTAGAATTCACTTGTTGACCCGCGCAGCATCCATAGACGTCACATGTGTATCAATAACATGTTCCTCGGGGCCCATGCGGGTTTTATGATTTCTTTTACCCCTTTTGTGTACCTATGTGTATACAAACTATAGTGTATGTGTGGGGGTATTTTAAAATATCTTTAAACGCCTTCTGTCCGCTTGCATGAACGTTGCGGATCCGGTGGTGTGGCGTAGCAGCTTCAGAATTGAGTTGTTCGCTGCTTCGTACAGGTAGACTGTCGTGCACTACTTGTTGCTTTCTGCAGGTGGATTGTAGTACACTAACGAGTCTCCTGTCTTGGGTCGTAGGAGCTTGTACTTGTCGTATTCTCTATGCATTTCGTCATAGTCTTTGATCTTTTTAATGCATCCGCTACTATTGTATGTAGGTAGGTAGATGTCTTCTTCCACAGACTGAAATTGACTTCAAGATACTGCATTTACTAAAGTCTTTCTACATCTACCCATAAGTGGCATGTTATACATACATCCGTATTCGTAGAAAGATTGTATGTATTGCAGATCTTTTATCCTTGCTTGTTGAAGGCTGATGTATTTGACTAATACAAAGTAGCTATCAACTGTATGGATGATTTAATCATCATCACCCATAAGTGGACAACTATATGAGTTAGAATTCTTCTATATTTGCTTGTGGTCAGCATGGTGGACTTGTATCATTGATCTTTGCTTGCAATCAGCTTCAGCAGGTTCTTGAATTTTGACTTTCGACATTCGTAGATAACTATTGTATTCATCTATGAGTTAATTGTCATTGATTGGAGAGAAGTCATAATAATAACTTCGTAGATACACCTTGATGAATCAAGTCATTGATAAGTCACCTCATGATCTATGTATGATTAGACCACACTTCTTCCCTTATTGCACGTTGCTTGTGAGCTCGTTGTGTTTGTAACTTCAGAAATCTTTTGTTGTAGTATTGAATAGTTTGTTGCAAACGAATTGTGAATACAAGTCATTCATTTGTAAATAATACATGATAGTTGTGTGGAGTCATCATATTCACCATGTGTCCTTATTGATTATTACTTGCAAGCAAATCATGTAGAAATCTTTGAAAACAATATATCATGACATGAAATTTGATAAGTTATCTACAATTCATCACTACTTGTAAGCAAGTAGAGTTTGCATGTCTCTTATTATTCACAAATTCCATATATTTTCTTTTGCATTTAATTTAGATCTTATTATTTTTCAACTCATAATATCATTTTAAATGTAGTTTTGATTTGGTATCATCTTAATCCAAGCATGAGTTCAATCCGAGTTCAAGTGCATCCCTTGTTCTTGTCAGCTTCGGTCCACATTCAAGTTCACCTTTGTTTGTTCATGTGGCGAGTCTAAATCCTTCTCACTTGGTTCACACTAAGTTCAAAAGACTCATATGATCTTGTTCAATTCAAGTTCATGTCCAATGCAGTCCCAAATCAAGTCATTTTGCACTTCGTTCAAATGTTCAAATATTCTTCATCTCATATGATATGCAAGTTCATTTATTGTTTAACTTGAATTAGGACCCTTTTATTTGCTCAAATATAAATATGAGCTCAAGTTCAAATGTCCACATTTTGTCCAAGTATTATCCATGATTCACCAAAAATTTCGGCAGCCTCCCGGTGTCTCCCCCGTTTAGGGAAAAACTACGGGAAACTAGGCCATCCCACCACGCTACTCGAGCGTGTATGGTAGGTGTCGGGGGACACCGGGCCGTACATCTTTCATCCCACCACGCTACGCGAGCGTGTATGAGGTCTTCAAAAGTAACCGTACGACGAGCACAAGTGAATCTCCCCACCACGCTACTCGAGCGTGTATAAGGCTTACACATTTCGCCGTATGCGTCGCACCGGTCTCCCTCCTATCGTGCTACGAGAGCGTGTATAGGTGGCTCTCCGGTCCGTCGGAAACGCAAAAAATGGGAAATATGAGTTTTAGGTGATTACCCGTCTCGTCGTAGGTGTCGCAACGGGCTCCCTCCTACCGTGCTATGAGAGCGCGTATAGGTGGTTCCCCGGTCCGCCACAAACGACGAGAATGGAAAATTTGAGTTTTGGAGATTATACCTTCGGGGTCGGCGGCGATGAGATAGCCAATGTACAAAGATACAAAAATATTCCCCCTTTTTTTTTCTTTGCACTTTCTTTTATTCTTCCTTCTCTTTTTTTTTTTAACTCCTCCATTCTCTTTCTTTTTTATTTTCTTTATACAAAATGAGAAGCAAGATTAAGAAGCTTCTGATTTGCCACAACAACAACAGAAAAAAAAAAAAAACTTCATTTATCTCATAAAAATCTAATTTAGAAGCCTCCAAACTAGCATTTGAAATAATTTTTGGTATTGCAAGTGATGGTGTTGCTATAAAAGGTTCTAGTGGCTGAGCAGCATCTGCATATCCTTCTGATCTTTGCACTCACTTGCAATCTTAGTTCTTGGGCCCCACTGACTAGAATCAAGACTGCAGCACTATTATCACTTATACTAGAAGCATTTCCAACAATTAGAGATCCACCATCCTCCTTGAAGCTGGGCCGTAGCTTCCTTAGTTTAATAGGATCAAATTTGCCAAGGCTTACGGTTCTGCAATGATTCATAGTATTCCAGAATTCTCATAGCAAAGTGTGTTTAATTGTTTTGCTGGGAAGATACCACCAAGAAATTGAAATTGCC